ATGGATATACAGGGTCCGGCAATAGTGCGTCGGGCATCTGTAGCTCCTGGGATAAAACACTTGTGAATTTTGTTTAAGTGCAAACCTAAAGTATGTACTAGGATGTATTTCAGGAAAATGTTTAACTTTTACAGGTACAGGGTGGCTCAAAAAGGTGTGAGTGGATCGGGATGATTTATTTTAAATGTAACACCCTGTATATTATTGTATTTTTGGCTTCCTTTCTGGATATGAGTAAATATGTTTCAATAGTTTCGGAGATATTAATAAATAAATTAAAAAAAATATATATTTTTCAGCCTTTTTAAAAAAAATAAAAATACAAGAATTTCTGTCATTTCTGTGTAAAATCAAAACTGTATTAGGTATTTACCTACATTAGGTGGTTTTTACTTGCTTCGCTATAAATATCGTAAACTTAAATTATACAGCATGTCCAAATTCTGCGCCAACCTTTCTAAAAAAACAAATTAATTTATCTTCGTTTTTTAAATTTTAAGTTTTTATTAAATTAGATTTAAACACCTGTATATATGTTTTTTTAATACATTGCTCAAAACAATTATCGCATATTTGAATAAAAGTAATTATTACATATTTCTAAATAAACCATGCATTTTTTTGCCTTTCTCTTGTGAGTTTTTTTTAGATAATTAGGGTACGCACTGACATGTAATTTTTAGTTGGCCGGCTATTTAGTTGCAAAAGTGAAAACAATACATTGCATTCTTATGGAGCCCATCGGCCCAATATTTGATTACATTGCGTAGCCTTAGGTTATGCGCGGACAGGCAATTTTTAATCGGCCGACTATTTAGTTGCATATTTGTAACCCATATATCCTTATGGAGCCGCGCTCGCATGCAATCAAATAGTCGGCCAATCGGCTCCATAAGTATGTATTGGTTTCATTTTTGCAACTAAATAGTCGGTCGATTAAAAATCACAGTTCAATGCGTAGGCTTATTGTTTCGAATTTCCCTTCGTAGTATTCAAACTATTTAAAATCGTAAAGTCAGAGAATTACAAGTGTCTTGTTTTTCAAATTAATATTTTTTTTAGAAAACATGCGATAATTTTTTTGAGTAGTTTAGACGGAGAATTAAAAAATTAACATTATTTGGGTTTAGAATATTTCAATATTTTTAACGGTTTCGCAGATATTCGCGGTTTTATATTCCGTATGGCATTTTCCACAGTAAATTTTAATTAATTAATTTATTTAATTTTTTTTAATGTGCAAAATATAAATTTTAATTTAATTCTTAACTTTCTCCAAACAAAC